TGTATACCTCCTTATATGTATCTAGATCTAATTCTATAGCTGTATATTGCGAAGACAATTTAAACTAATACTCAGGAACTTGAAGTCCTTATATTTTAAGCCCACGATGCCCACAAAATCTTGTAAGTCGTAAATGTATTTTCTGGGTTATTTAAATGTTAATAGTTGACAGCCCTGGCAGCTGCTAATTTTAGGCATCCGTGTCCTCGACCCACATTTCGGTAAAGATTTCTGTGTGGAGAGTCATGAAATCAATTGGCAAAAGTGCGGAGAGATGCAAATTGTTTGGAATTTGCATAAATTATCAGCTGTCAATCGGGGAAAGAGAGCGATGCACAAATTGAAACAATGAAGCGACCGTTTGTAGTGCACTCAAACTCAAACTAAACTGGCAGGATCTGTGGTAAAAGGTCCCTTCGGCGACGGCACCTTCAATAACATTTTCGCCGACTTTGCTTCAATTTGTGGCAATTTTCGAGTCGCTGCATCCTGCTTGCATTTTGCCGGGTTTGTGTGAAGCACGCTCACAAATGGCTCGTGAAATCAGCGCAGTCACGCCCAGCCAGGGGCGAGCCGCCCCCCGTAAGGCTGCATATTGACAAAAAAAAAAAAAAAGAGAGGGAGATGAAAGAAAAACCCAAAGCAAAGCTGAAATAAAATGAAAAGTCTTTTGCTCTTGCTTTACGGTTGTTTTTTACGTTAGTTTTTCTTTCTTTTTTTTTAGTTTGGATGGCTGGAGTCTGCTCTAAATTGCACTTTATTTGCGGTTTGTTGGTTTTATTGCACAACTTTGTTTACAATTCTGCTTAAATTTCATTACATAAACGCAACGAGTACGGGTGAGGAGATGCGAGGAGAGGCAAGGCAGGACAGGGCAAGGTGAGTGAGGCAACCAACTGACCGACGGACATTCAAAATGAATCACGAAACCTTGATATGAATTAATATTTGAGCAGTGCAAAAACCAAATACCCAGTGGAGCAAACTGTGTGCCCCACTGTGTGGCACTGGCAGTGGGGCAACGGTGCTGCAATTTCACTTAAATGGGTCAATTGTGTTTGGAACAAGTGACAAATCGGTGCTGATAAATTGATGTGCCTAATTAGTACTGATTTGCAAACAACCAAAAAATAAATTATTATCAACGGATTTATTGACTAATTACAAAATTGATTTTCTCTACAAATGGATTTAAATTGAATAACAGATTTGGCATCCAAATATGCATACAAATTATGACAATTTATGGGTATTTAATTTAAAGAAAATTTATAGAATTATTAGTGCATTAGGAAAAGTTAAAAAAAAAAACTATTTTTTAATGGTGAATGATTCTGATTTGATTTGTTTGACTAACTGCTAGGAGCATAGATAAAACACTTTTAAGTAATTATTTTGTTTTAGATATAAACAGAAAGCAGACTATTGCTGTTATATGAAATATAAGTCTTGCATTAACTAATTGCATATTTTCCGAGAAGTGAGAGAGAGTCAGAGAGATATCTATGAGAGTATAAATACCTTATGCGTTGGTAGACTTTTGCTTTATGAACTCACTTCAGGTGTATAAGGATTTCATTTGATGCCATTTAAGGGAGTTCATTGTACTGCCATTGCTGCAATTGTACGTTGTTAGTTTTGATGACTTTATGACTTGGTCGTTATACATCTGAAGCACGCCATCGGTCAAATTCTGCAAGGCAAAGGTCAAAAACACTTGATGTCCTGAACGAGGCCGCATTCCTGATGACTGAAATTGCAGCTGTAAACGTGTTTAATTGAAGGAGAAGAAGCAGATGAAGATGAGCGAACAGAAAAAGACACAAACAGCACACAGAGCATGAAAAATCAAAACAAATAAGCAAACAAGCAAGCAGGCAAGCAGGCAAACAGACAAACAAAGTGCCAAGCAAATTAAATAAAAGCCAGGTGAGATTGTTAAGGGGAAGTAATAATATAAAAGCTCAACACAATGCAGGCACATGGTACATACATTTACAGTTACAGCAACAGCAACAGTGACTCGGGCAAATACTGTGCTGGCCACCCACTTATGCGCTTTTGTGTGTGTGGCAGAAAGTAATGAAAATTAAGCAATTGAACAGCTTGCCACAAAGGAAAATCACAACAATCGCAGCTAGCTGCACGAATATTAAAGTTTAGCTGACATTTTTTTAAACAATTTATTACTCTTTCTTTAAGTGAAAGAGATGAGTTTAATGCACATTCTAATTATTTTCCAATAAACGTACAAAATGAAAATATATTGTAATAAAAATGATTGTATCTTTTTAGTTCTAAGAAAACAATATTATTTCAAATTGTAGTACAACTAAAGAAGCTTTTAAAAATGAAACCAGCATAAAAATGAAATCAATTTAAGTCTTTGCTTTCACTCTTTGCTTGTTTTGTCATTTTGGTGCTTATTTCTTATAACGCAATATATAATTTTTTAAATACACCTTTTTTGACCTTAGCAACACCATAACAAAGTTATTAACCCCCCCGTGACTGTATAAACAAGCCAAAAACAAACACAAATCAGCAGAGACAATAAAAAAAGCGCCGCAAAGTATGCAGTGTAAAGCATAAGAGCAAGCAAAATCCGTGTGAGAGAGTAAGTCTCTGTGTGTGTGTGTGTGTGTGTGAGCATAGCATAGGATGTCCTTGGCTCGCCGGGCCAGCAGGATAATCAAAAATGTTAATTTAGCAAAAAAAAAGAAAAGGTTTGCAAGATCCCGTCGCACAGCGCGACGCATCCAGCAACGGGACAGTTTGCCATGTGCACTGCACTGGGTGCCAGGCGCAAATGCTGCGCCAGCTGCCATTATCAGCCTTCATTCATGGATACCAACCGTTGGCAGAGCCTCAGCCCGAAGCCAATGCCGCGAACGAGACCGAAACCGAGACCGAGCCGAGTCGAGTTGAGGAGTTCACGAATAAGAACAGCCGGGAGACATGGCAGCAGGAGCAGCTTCCCATGTCCTTCGTTTCGTGTGCGCGAGAAAAGTTTGAGAGCCACTGGAAGCGCAAACAGGGATAAGCACAATGGAAGGCACAGCAGCTGAGCGAGAGAGCGACTGCCAAAAAAAGAGCAAAAAAAGCTTAAAGCTTCAATTAAGAGCAAGCACAGCCCTACAAGTGGCTTTAAAGAGTCATCCAATTATGCGACGCTGCCTAAGCCTGGTTCTCTTCTCTCTCTCTCTCTCTCTCTCTCTCTCTCTCTTTCTCTCTCTCTTTCTGGCTGCGCTTGTTGTGTAGGCGCCCTGTAGTTTTCCGTTTGTAAAAGCCATTTTTCATTCATGCGAATTTACTTTAAATTAATTTTTTTGCGGGGTCATAAATCATTTTTGGCTCTGGACCTACGCAGCGCTATGCTGCCTCTGTCTGCATGTGCCTGTGTGTGTGTGTGTGTGTGCGAGAGCATGTGAGTGTATTTGTCTGTATGTATGTATGCATGTGTGACTGTATGTGTGAGTCTCCATAGGCTCTTGTGCATGAATGAACGTGCGTGAAATTTGAAATATATGAGTTAGTTGCGATTGCATTGAAGGACTTTCAATATTTAGGCCAAGTGAGCCAAGGGTGGCCTACAATTGCCTGTATAACTGTTTACATATTGAGTGGTTCTGATACCAATATTTTTGCCTAAGCAGCTGATGGTTCAATTGACTTGTACTTGTAAGCGAAACAGTTGCTTGGTAATTGGGACACTTTACTTTGGATGGAAAATGTAATATTTCAAAAAAGGAATGAAAAAAATATTGCAATCATATTAAAATGAAATATGATATTATTGGTAGCGCTTAAGATCGATAATGTAATATAACACATCAATATAGAGAGGAGAAATAAGTGTTTTTTATTTTTAATGTATTTCCAATTATTATTATTCATTTATTTGAAAATTGTCCATAAATTATTTAGTGAATGAAATATTTCTATTATAATATTTGAATAATGTGGCTACGATTAATATTAAAGTTCTTCAGTAGTTAATACAAAATCGAAAATATTAAAATATTAATTAATACACATAACAAATTATAACCCAAAAGAAAAGCATTGTAAAATACAACTCACACTCAAACACCAACTGAATGCTCAATTGAGTGGGAACTGCCAGCAACAGTACTCAGTTCACACCCTGTATGCCTCACACACCCACACACATACAACCACACACACACTCCCACTAGCAATTGTGGTAACTGCCTCAAGCAAAGCTTACTGGTGCGCGCTCTTCTCTCAGACAGCATCCTGAAAATCAGCTAGCAAATTTGCTCGGCTCCCGCCTAAGCCACAACACACAACATGCAAGAAGAAGAGTCGAGAGTTTCTCTTAGGCGCTGGCAGCTTTATTCCAGACACGAACATGGACTTGGTCGGATTCGTGACTTCCAGTCACGTACTGAGCATCCCCACGCAGGTTGAATGCCCATCCAATCGCCTGTGCTGCAAGTGATGTTCGTGTCTGCGCGAGAGCTTAGCGAAGCTCTCGGATTCGTGTTGCTGGTGCTGGTGCTGGTGTTGCTGCTGCTGCTGCTGCTGCTGCTGCTGCTGGTGGTTCTGCTGCTGGTGCTGGTGCTGCAGTAGTCACATTCCAGCGACGCCTGGCTGGCAATTGCTGGCTGTCAGCGCATTCAGTTGGTGTTCCGGTTTCGGGTTGTGCTGTTAGTTGCCTTTTCCTGCACAGCCAAGCAGAGCCAAGCGGAGTCGCGAGCGTGGTCGTGCCTGTGTCTGTGTCTGTGTCTGCGACTGTCTGTGACTGTGACTGTGACTTGTGTATGTGCGTGCGTGCGTGCTTGTGTGTGTGGTGTGTGTCTGTGTCTTGGTCTGTGTCTCTGTGTGTGTGTGTGTGCTTGTTGTCTGTCGTCGCTTAACACTGCGCGCGCGTTTTGTCATCGTGTGAGTGGATGTATTTGTCTGTGTGTGCGTCTGTGTGTGTGTGTGCGTGTGTGTGAGCCTTCTCCGCGTATGTATGTGTGAGCCAGTATGACCATATGTATGTGCGTGTGTGCGTTTATTGTGCACCACAATACACAATATACTAATACTAATACATCAACATCACACATACATGGCAACATTTAAGCGCCTACAAGGATGCTCGAGCAGAAGCTAAAACAAATCACTATCAGGTAAATCGGATAAAGTAGACCAACTAGTCAGGCAAATATATATATATATAAATATCTACAATATATATTTAAATATGTGTATGTGTCAGAGTGCGTATGCGTATGCGTGTGTGTGTGTGAGTGCGTGGAATTGAACAATTTTGCCATTGTGTGCGTGTTGTGCGCTTTCCAACAGCAGGAAATTGATATTCTTATTTCTTGTGCTTTTTGCAAAAAATAACGGCACGAGTCTCTCTCTTTTGGTGTATGTGTGTGCGTATGCGTGTGTGTTTGTGTGTGTGTGTGTTTGTGAAAATTCCATCATCATCATCATCATCATTCGGGCTCGCGCTGGCAACATTGTTGTACACATATTTCTTCTTCTTACAACAAGCCCCCATCCCACTCCTTCCTGGGAGCTCTATCTCATCATCTATGTATTTTATTTACTGGTTGCTTTGCTCTTCTTTTTTTTATTGCTGCGGAAAAGCGAAATGCGAAAAACGAATTGCAAATGGCAGGCAAATTTCTAATTGACCATCAAATAAATGTTTCAAATTGCAGCAGTTGCGACAGTCCAAAAAGTATCTTTCAGATACATGTCAAGTGCAAGGCTTTGTGTGGGTCGCATTTTCTAAGCGTGTATGTGTGTATGTGTGTGTGTGGATGTGTGTGTGTATATGCGTATAACAGGTGCCAAAATATATATATGTGGAAATGGCAACTTTTATGCTCAGATTTTGTCAGTTTCTTCTCTTTTTTTTGGCGATAAAATAAAACTGTAAGAGATTGTTTTGACATTGTCAACAAGTGAACAACTTGTGAATATTGGCTATGAATTGAGTGCATATGTGATTGGAAACTGAACGCCTTGAGAGCTTCTTGAATAAGAAAACTTAGCTGAAAGTAGATATTGGGAAATGTATTTAAGAATTTTGAAAGTTCATATAAAAGCTTTCGAGCTTAACACTGCATTATATTTATTTTTATAAAGTAAAAATCCATATTTTATAGATTCTTTTATTATTGATATTTTTGGAAATATATTTGCACTTGACCTAACACTAGTCTTATATATCTCTCTCTCTCTCTCTCTTTTGCAGCCAAGAAAGCAACCATAGAAAATAATGGATGGTAGAACTAAATGAAAACAAAACAAAAAAAAATATAACAAGGAAAAAATCTGCGCAAATATAATACATTTTTTAATATAACAAGCAATATTTTAATGATTGAGTGAGATACACCAAAGATAAAGAAAGAAAAATAGAAAAAGTGTTTTGTGCTTGTGAAACTGAACTAAACTAAAATACAAGAAAACACCGATAAACTACCAAAAATCATATTAAAAGTGGGTGAGAACGATTAAATGAAAACCAAAAACTATTACTGAAGCAATTGAAAAAGGCTTAATACCAAAACAAATTTATAGTAAAATTGAGCACAAACTAAAATACGAACTATGAAATAATGAAATTAAAACTACTAAAAGAAAGCGAAAATTTTGAAATTTATTGTAAATATTATAAGCTACAAAAAATCTTTACATTTAATACATATACAAAAAGTTACCAAAAGTATAAGAAGAAGTCGGCCACATTTTTCGCTGAAACGTTTTTAATATTAACTGTAATGCCCAAAATCAATTTGAATACAACATTTTCTATTATATAGAAAACAAAAGTCAAATAATAATAAATAATAATAATCGCGAATTTCATTAAAAACCATAAATAAAAATAAACTGAAACCAGCACAAGATTGAACGAGAAGATTTTTGATTTTACATCTAAGTATATGTATATAATATATATATATATATATATACATATTCAATAAATTGGCCGCATTGATGAATTGCACAGCTGCGCTGCATATTGACATATTGAATTTCCTCATGCAAATTTATTCATTATTCAAATACGAAAGGCGACAAATTTCCAATCACTGACATTCACGACGTAACATATGCATATTCGATAATCGCAACTAACTAACTAAATACAAATACAAAAAAAAGTAATAATAATAGTTATAATAATCACAATTGAGCTACAACTAATTGTTTACCGCAATTGAATTCATTCAATCACCTAATCCTATATATGAATACATAATAATTCATATTCATCATAACTAGAAATATATATATATGTATATGTATATATATATATATATATATATATATATATGACAAATGAAGATGCGCAAAATTTGATAGAATATTTAACATAATAATAACAAACGATACATGGAATATTTATAGTATTCAGCTAGTTCAACTAAATCTTTATACATATACACAAACCAATTGGAAAGCGACCACTTTTGACTCAATTAATAGAGAGAAAAAGGTGAGTACAGAAATATTCAATTTTCTTCAAGTATAAAAATATATATGAAAAAACCAAAAAAAAAAAAAAAAATTCTATAGGTTTTACATGGTTTTCAGAGAATTCTTACAATAAGAAAACATACCTTTAAAAATGTATTAATATTTTTGTAGTTTGCTGTGAGTCTTTCATTGTCTTTACAATAATTTCTTAAAAATTAAATAGAATAAAAGAAGAAATGAGCCTTAATTTAAGATAAAATATTATTTTTATATTTCTAATTGGAAATTTCATACTAGTGTTTTCATTATATATATTTATTGTTGGAAAATAAAGATAAGAAATGCATTACCTACATGAAGAATATACTTAAATAGACATTTGAGGGAAACCTTTACCAAAACTTCAATTTGTACATATTTATACAAGAATATAATAAGTATGGCATCAAATCATATAAATTTTTATTTGCATGAGGTTGTATATTAACTTCTTATCGAGATATATGGGCAGTTTAGTGGTTTTTGAAAAGCATAAAACTGCTATAGAGACCAGTATTATAACTAGAGGCATTTTTTGCCAGCGCATAATTTTCCCAGATGCCCCAATCACCACACCCCAAATTGCTCGTTTGCCCCAAGGTGCAATGTGTCCCCAAGTAGCTAAAGCTCGACTTAGCTCGACTTTTTTCTTTTTGCTGTTGTATTCTTTTGTTTTTGGTTTGGGGTTCACTTCATGGTCGAGCATTTGAAAATTGTTCCATTGACCTTTGACGACCACGCAGTGTGGCGAAACGGGACACATTCAAATAAATACACACACACACACACACAGCTGGCATGTTCGGGTGGCTGTGGTTAAGTGGGTGAGAATGCAGAGGTTTAGTTTGATTGGGTGGTGTGGGTGGTGCCAATGCCCAAAAGCAAATATCAGCCACCGCAACTCTGACGACAATAAAAAGCAGCGAACAATTGCCAAATAAATAACTTGACGCTCGCTCAGCGCGTTTATTTGCTTTTGTGTCGAGGCCTGGGCTTGATTTTCATTTTCATTTTGCCAACACACTCACCTATACTCATGCATGTGTGTGGTTGTGTGTGAAACAGAGAGAGAGAGAGAGAGAGAAAGTTCAGGACTCTAGACTGTTGCATATTAAAAGAGTCTCAGCTTCCTGCCATGCTTGGCTTTTTTCGTTTCTTTTTTTTTTTTCAGCTGCGATGCTCATTTGGCTCTGTCTAAAAATCTGAATCCACACTGTCTTTTGCCCCAACTTGGTCGCTTTGCTTGGGTTTTTTCATTAATAATATGACACAATTCCTTCAGCATTGTCCTGGCCAGCTGCGCCTGAGAGCACTTTTGGCTTTGACGCCTCCTTATGCTCATTATGCTCATTTGAGGCTTTGTCTTCTAGTCTCCTACCGTCCTTAACACAGCCAGCCAACGTCTTTTTGCCTCTTCTTTCATCATTCATTCATGCAGCAGCAGAAACAACAGTCACACACACACACACACACACACACACATACACACACAGACACACGCACACGCAGAGATACATCAGCAAATCCAAATGCAAACACAGGCAGCGAGAGGACCAACAAAACAAAAGTGCAATATTCGTGTGCGTCTGTGTGTGTGTGTGTGTGTGTGTGTGTGTGTGTGTGTGTGTGTGTGTGTGTGTGCGTCTGTGTGTGTGTAAGTGAATTTCAGATACTCTTTAAGCGTTGGACACTTTTTGTTTAGCATCCAAATGTACAAGCTTTATTACTTTATACATTAATTATATTATTTTTTAATAATATTATTTATAAGAATACTGAAAATAAATTAAAATATTTACTATGAAGTATTATATTCTAAGTCATCTATTAAAAAATATATATATTTTTTAATTATTTTCGGTTTTATTAAAGTCATGATTTTATCTATAACTTACAGGCATTTCTTAAACACTGAAAATTAATGTGCAACACAATTTTTATACATTTAAAAAACTAAAGATAAAAAAATATTATTATTATTATTAATAATTTTATTAATATTATAACTTTTTATAAAGAGTAAAAAAATTAAGCACACACTTTGTGTAAGAGTATTGAAGCATTCGGCATTGCCTCTTGTTTTGTTCTTTTTTTTTGGTTAACTTTCATTTGTTGACTGTTGTTGGCCGACGTCCTTAATTATGTGCCAGAGCCCTGACTGACTGCCACAGTGCCACACTGGCAGTAAGGACACACGCACGCACTCACACATTGACACATTTGTAGGCACAAGCTGAACTGTCAGGCTCGACGACGGCGACGACGACGACGGCGACGGCGACAGCGACGCGACAGCGGCTGCGGCGGCAACGTTGACTCGCGACTCGTCGTTGTGTCCTGCGATGTGTCATGTTGCGAAGGTGGCGAAGGAGAGGCTCGAGACTCAAGTCCTTGTTGCGCTTGTTTTTATCGCTTGTGTTTGGCCGTTCTTGATGAGTGTTGTCGCCTCGTTGCTCTTGTTGTTGCTGTTGTTGTTGTTGCTGTTGTTGCTGTTGTTGCTGTTGTTCGCTGGCCGTTTTTGAAGAGCACCGTTGTAGTGGGTGTCATGTCCGTTTAGTTGTTGTTGCTTTTGCTGCCTGGCACTTTGAGGCGACGCCGCCTGCTTACTGCTTATTTATGTATGAAGGACCTTAAACTTTGCTGCAAATGAAAATAGCCCCGCACATCACACACACACACACACAGAAAGCAAGAAGGAGATGATGAAAGCAACTTAAAAAGGTATAGAAAAATAAAAGCAGGTAAGCGTGCTCGACGATGGGATACCCTGCAATCCAACCTCTGAGTGCTAGCTAGAAATCACAGTCCTATGATAGAAATCAATTTCTAACAATTAAAGAGGCGAGTGGCTTCTAATTTAAACCTGCATCATATTATTTTCTGTATATATGTGGCAGAAGAAGTGACTTTCTGTTTGAAATTCAAAGAATTTGCAGATATCCATTTTGCCTTGTCAACCATTTTAATGGGCTACAAAATGGCGTAGCTCCTCTTCAATCACAGACGGTGGCGCTTCTCTTCCTGTCAGCCATTTGTAAAGATTCTCACGTGTGCCAGCATCCTTATTGTTCTTGCTGTTGACGCTTAGTAACAATGCATACCATTTTTTTTTTAACTTGGCTGCGTTTCCATAACCTTCACATGCAAATGAGTCTGCAAAAAACCTTTAAATTTAAGGTTAAAAATATCGTTTTATTGTTGCTGAGCCACTTAGTTTTAAACTAGGTCAACGCAGCGTTTGTGCCAAAAAGAGGAAAGGTCACAGTTGCTCATGGTGTATATCTTGAAAACCCTTTCTCAAAAAAAAGCGAATATATTTTTAAGCATATCTATTTATAAACAGCTTGCGGAATTCACAATTATTTAATATTCTGTTAATAAAGACCGCTCTTTCTTATTTATGTTTATTTTATTATTATTTTGAAATTTGTTTAGTGTCTTAAGGAAGACATTTACCAGTTAGCCAGCCAATAATAGCAATATATTTGTTATTTGATTGACGAATTATAATTCTGTGTCTCTGCAACAAAAGTCTTTCTCCAAAACTCTTTTGATACTTGCTGTCAGTCGTAATTTTATCGTTACTTGCTGATTACATATAACAAGAATGTATTCCTCTTGTCCAATGCATACTTTCATGCTTGCGTTATAATTCCAACATAATCACACCATTATTATTGCAAATTTGTAGTTTTTACTACTCAGTTGAGAATATTACTCTAATTCATAATTAAAACGATTGCTTATTCATTTGGGAACTGCTTATAAAATGTGCTCTGCTTCTCTCACTCCAAGTTGGCTAGGACACCTCAACACTTTGCTAGTTAAACTGTCTGTTCAAATACACACACACTCCAGCCCCAAACCTAACCCCAAATCCAACCTCAACCTTCCACACTTAGATCAGGCCGTTACGTGTCTGTGCATTGAGCACCAGATGTCACATGGGGTTGGTAAAAGTTTTTGCCGTTCGCAACTTAGATAATTTAACACTGAATGGGTTGGGTGGTTTGGATAGGATGCAAAGGATTTACCTTTCGCTCTCTCTCCCCAAATTTCTCTCTCTCTTTCTTTCTCTGCCTCTTTGTTGCTTGGTTTACGTGAGATAATGTAAATTTATGGCTGGCAATTAGCGGGTCGCGAATCGTAACCAAAGCCATGGCTATAACTCAAGCGAACAAACTTTCGTCTAGGCCCCCAAAAGTTCCAGGTTCTAATTGCAGTTGCGAAGAGCGTGGCAAATCTTGGCCAACAATCGTGGGTGGGGGTGTGTGTGGGGAGACAATGACAAAACCAAAATTCAGTTAGCAACATTTCTTACCATTAATTACCAAAGGTAACAACGCACATATGTGTAGGCAAACTGGTACAGTGGTTGCTCGGTAACTCTTATATATATGTACAACATTTATCATCCTCTGCATATGACATTTATCTATATACATATATTTATAAGATATAATGTTGCAAGCAAATAGTTTTTATTATTATTTGTTTATTTATTTGCAAATTAAAATGACCCCTGACCTATGCACATATAGCAAGGACTATTTTTCAAAATTGATATATATATATAACAGTTACACTTTTCACACAATCTCAGCGCGATGTAATACACAAATGGGTGTGTATCTGTATCTGTTAGCTACATGCGCAAGGCATCAGTTGCAATCTGACTTCAATTCAATTATTTTAGATTAGAATGTGACTGTGTCACAAACACACACAAAGTGCACACACACACACACATACGCACACTTTTGTTTCTCTATGTCAGCTGTCATTCATCCGTTCATATGTTCATTTTGCTTGGCTCGCTAGAGCGACAGACAGGATTGGAGGACAGAACGCAGGATACGTGCCCCGTGACGCCAGTTTCTGCATTGACAGTTGTGTCCGTCAGCTGTGTGTGTATAGTGTATATGTGTTTGTGTGGGTGTATTTGACTGTGTGGGCTGCTCTAAATGTGCTTAGAAAAACAGGAGAAAAAAATTCAACAAAGAGACCCCGTGGCAAATTCACATAGGTTCAGACAAAAACGTTGCGTCTGACGTCACAGCTATTGACTTTGGGCATTTTAAAAACACTTACGGAACATTATCGATTTAACTAGCAAATATATCTTTAAGATATTCACGTAAACCTGTTTTTAAAGTTTTCTTTGATAAGAAATCATTGAAAATTGCAAGTTATGAAACTGGAACAATCTGCAAAGTTCACTTAATTAGTCTTACAGTCGAAACATTAGTTTATTCAAGAAACAACCGCAATTATAATATTATAATAATAATTGCTGTTAGTAATATTATATTTCTAAAGCTGTTACTTCTGTCTTGTAACTAGTATTTAACAACTGCCTTAAAACCAGCCAAATACATAACTGTAGTTTGTCCGCAGGTAGTAAGTTTGGGAACATATCGACTCTCATAAATATCTTATTTCATATTTTTTGAGACACTTGGGAAACATTCTTTACCTGCCCACGTGAATGCACTTTGCACTGAACTGCATGCATATGGAATGCTTACAACTATAAATTCCAGGCAGGCTAACCAGGTACATATGAATTCAGTTGATAAGAACAAAGTGGATCTAAATGTAAGCAGTCATGTTCAAACCTGTTCCACATGCTGAACCACACAGAAATGGTATTGTATTTTCACGCATATGACATTTTCATTGAATAGTGTAAATAAATCATAATAATTCCGATTTGCTAGAAACCTTCTATATATAAATGCAATAACAAGTCCGCAAGGGCAGAACATTTAGTTCCGCTCTGCCGCCTTTGTGACTCATAAAGAAGCTCAATGAATAATACAAATGTATCTTTTACTTAGTGCCGATGTAGCTATTTTGCAGCTTATCAGCATCATTTCATGCGGGCGACTCAAGCGAATTATTAAGCGGGTATTATGATAAAGTCCCAATGACCCACCAGCATTTATTGTCTGCTGCAGCAGCAGCAGCAATAGCTAAGTGACCATTGGTAGCGTCTCCGAAAACACTGTCCGACCAGATTTTGAAGACTAGGCGGGTTGGAATCATAACAATAAGTAAATATAAAGCAAATAATAAACATATATAATATTAGAAACACCATAAGTTATTAAAACTGATAAATAATAATTAATATAATCATATAAATATTATGTACGTATATTTGTTCCAGCTAAAAATTTTATTATGATCTTTTTAAATATTTTCCAAATGGAGTGCATTAAAGACCTATATACGTATTTATATTAGGTTTTCAGAAAATTTGTTTTATTTTTTAATCTTGTTCCCTTTTTATATTTAAAATACTAATACGATTAACTTCTGATTAATATTTTGTACTTTGCTGTACTTGATAATATTCTAAATATTTTGAAATCGTTTGTTTATATATAAGATGTTGGTATATTTTTCTGTTCTTTCATTTTCTTATCATAAAACATTTCTCATTTTGTGGTGTAGTGTATTTTACGGCATGTATTCTTCGAAAACTGCCTGGGCTGTCACTCGTATCTATCGATGAGTTGCATGCCGGCTTGGCTGCAATCAGTGCGAGAGCGTCGCCAGAGATTTCGAGTGTGAGTAAATAGTGCAAGTGTCGCCCTGGAACTTATCTAGCTGCGGATGTTGGTATTTGTGTTGTTGTTGTTCTGTTTCTCCTTCTTCTTCTACTTGTGTTGAGCGTTTTATATATTTCAGGCAGTTCTCGAGCCGAGCATCGTTCGCCTGTTCAGTTCAGTGCTAAAGTGAACCTCGAGTCGATCAGTTGAACTATGAAAAGCCTTTGTTTGTTTTTGTGCCTGCTGGGCACAAGTGTTGCCCTAAGGGAAAACTTCTGTGAGCGGAATGTGACCGTTAGCAAAATGGTACCCGTGATGAAGCAACGAACGACGATCAAACAGCCGCCCAAATGGAAGGTGTGGAAGAAGGCACAGCGCGTCACAGAATTCTACAACACTCACGAGGAGCAGCTCAGCTATAAGTTAATCTTGGAATGCTGTCCGGGGTATATGCAAGTGGAGTCCGGTCTCTGTGAGCCCATCTGTGATCGTGGCTGTCCAGCCTATGCCAGCTGCGTGGCGCCACAGCGCTGCCAATGCACGCGTGGCTATATCTCGGCTGTGGCACATCGCGATGGCAGCCACTACTGTGAGCCCATCTGTGAGCGCGGCTGCCTCATCGGCTCCCAATGCGTGGCACCTAATACGTGCGCCTGCAAAGATGGCTTCAAGTCACTGCCACCCAATGGGGATGCAATCAGTGCGCCCTGTGAGCCGATCTGCACTCTGGGCGACGGCTGCGCAAATGGACAGTGCGTCGATGTGGAGCGTTGTGTTTGCAATCGGGGTTATCAGTGGAGCGAGGAGAGCAGCACTTGTGTGGCCAACACGGACGTGCAGGAGGAGTCAAACGACGATTTTACCGAGCTAAGGGATTATCTGAGCAGCACAGCAAAAGCGACAACGTTTGCCTCTGTTGTAGCCGCCGACTGTGAAGATGGATTCGTTTTCTATTCGGGTGAATGTCGTGCCGAACTCTTTGAAAGCAATGAACCTAGCGCTGTCAAGGATTGCCGCCAGTTCGACTGTGGTCCAAATCAGAGCTGCAGCGAACAGGGCAATTGTATCTGCAACGCGGGCTATGTTGAAGTGCTGGCCGATGATGAAGATGTGAAGAAGAACTCGACGCTCTCCTGTCGTCCCAGTCTGTTCGATCAACTGCTCGGCATCGATGAGACCACTGATGATGAGGATGAACTTAATTCGCTGACTATTCTAATTGTGGGCATGGCTACGGTTGTTCTGCTCATGATTGTGATACTGGGTTTGCTGGGTGGAATGCGACGTCTTCGAGGCCAGCCGGAGACCGAACCCAGGGAGCAAACTCTGCAATGCGAATTCACACAGAAATCGTACGATTTGGATGAGTCGGTGCCGTAAGATGGGATCAGCTCAAAGAGAATTCATGTGGGCTGTGTTAGTTAGACTTTGATTGTTAGCCTCTAAAGTTATCATAATAAATGTTTTGTATATTGTTTGTAGACTATGTTCGTCATGTAATTCTTTTAAAGGGCTATGGGTCATGAGCATTCGCCTTAAAAGTGAACCTTCCCATATATTTTTTCGCTCAAATCGGAATTTACATTTTGGTACAGAAACCAGCATGATATTTTTGGAATGACATTTTTTTTTTAAAGAGATATCGACGAGGGAGAGTTTGCGATATGGGGTGAGCCATAAAAATACATTGAGTGGAAAGAGATAAAACGTCAGAGAAGAGGAAGGGGAAGAGCGAGACAGAGAGAAAGATAGAGAGAGAGAGAGAGAGAGAGAGAGATGTATGGACTACGTTGGTCCAATTGGTGATATGAGTACACTTATATGTATAATCTGGTTGTTCTTCATTTCCTAAGTAAGGATGAGTTTCGAACTGATCGGGTAGGTTTTTTCTTATGTTTCATTTATTTTTAACAATTTTATTGCTGAACGAAACTGCATTAATCATATTCTTGGTTCTTTATATGAAACTATTTTATTTCTTCATTTGAATAAATTTGAATGGAAGTATTATGTAATCTCTATTACTATTTGGCTTTATGAATTTGTTTTTTATTTATCATCAGTCATTAATAATTAAAGTAAACTCCACATGTGATTGGGAGAATCCTTAGCCTATAGGGACAGATAGTAATAAAACCAAATTTCTTTAACATAATTTGTAATTATAAGATATGAAATTATTTTTTATTGTTATTTTTGCAAGTATTTTGAATGAACTTTGACTTTAGTCTTTGTGTCTCACTGATATGAATGCTTGTCCAAGGACAAGTTTATAGGCGGCGTAAAAGACAAAAGAGATAAATTTATTAGCAGGGCACAAAACAATCATTGTTAGGAAAGCAATTATGAAAGGGTTAAGAGTTGACTTCTAAATTTAGATCGTCACAGTTCATTTCAGTTCTTTTTTATCTTCAAATTTTTCAATGTGATATCAACATATTTTATTTTGAATGACTACTAAAATGTAACCACAAATATCGCACATTTATTACCGAAAAAGAGGCTCATCGTATCAGGTCCCCCGGCAGTCATATGCACTCAACAGCCGATTACGGGCATATATAAATAAAAAATTCATAAAAAAAATACTTAAAAATGGAACACACACACAAAAATACACTTTGCCTGTCACTCTCACTAATGTAGCGGAGAGTTTTGAAGCCGTCGCTTTAATATCCATAGCAATTTTTATCAGCTGCAAATATGTGTATATGTGTACATACTATCAGAATGTGAATGTGTGTGTGTGTGTGTGTGTGCGTGTGTGCGTGTGTATCTGTGTGCAAGTGTGTCTTGTATCTGTGTCTACAGCTATGGGCCAATATCTGTATCTGTGACAGTAGCACAAAGATCTTTTAGCCATAATCGGCGCACATTTATATATTTTTCGCACTAAGCCACACACAAAAATACACACAGACATACACGCACATGCGGGAGCTTTAAGGTGCGCAATAGGCAGAGAGCGAGAGACAGAGATAAAGATAGAGAAAGAGAGAGAGAGAGACAGAGAGAGAGAGAGAGAGAAAGAGAGAGAGAGAGAGAGCGAGCCAAGTGTAGTGCGTGAGAGCGCGTTAACTTTGGAAGGCGTGCAAAATCTTAGAAAAAGAATATAAAAAAAAAAAAATAAAAAAAAAAAATAAAACACAAAAAGACAACCAAGCAACCAATTTCTGACAGCAGCAGCCCCTCAACTGCCCTTACCCTTCTGTTGTCCCCGTTTCCCCAGTCACAAGCACGTTTCCTGTGGCGTTGGCGTTGCCCTCACAGCAACAAGGATACTTAAAGCTTCTTTAATTTTTATGTTGTTTTCTCTTCTCTTTGTCGGCGCGTTGAGTGCGGCTGTGCTCTAGTGTGTGTATGTGTGTGAGTGTGTGTGTTGTTGTGGTATGTGTGTGCCTCAACCATTCTCTTTGATTGCTTTTATGCTCGCGTATGTGTGTTCTGTTCGTGTATTTGTATTGGTAACCTTTGCTGGCTGTGCCAACATTTTTGCGTGGGACGTTGCCCAAGGACATGGACTCGTTTGCCTCGTTTGCCATTTGCTTCACTATTTCAGACTGCTTGCTGTTTCTTCCTCTTCATTTTCAAATTTCTCTCTGCTCTTACTTTACATTGTATATTTATATTTCTTTTTTTTTTCATAGTACTTGCTTTTCCTGCTTACTTTCTCATTTATTTATTATTTGTTAATTGCAACATTTATTTTTGGTCAAGCTCCAAAAACGTGCCCAGTGCCAACCGACAACCTGCATTTAATTGAATGAAGCATTGACAAATGCAAAAGGTTGCTCAAGCGCCTTTTAAAGTACAACAATTGCTTCTGCGATATTTTCAATTTAGAATATTTGCAATTTATTATTTTGCAGAGCAGCTGCAAAAACTTGTAATATTAAAGCTAATTATAGGTCAAATTTAGCAGTCAATTGAATTTATTTCGCTTCATTTACGAAATTCTACAATTTACTTATTGGTAGAGATTATTTACTGTGATTTAATTGCTGTGAATTCGTTCATTCTTTCCTTTTATTTTTCTTAATAATTAATTTTTAATTTGAAACATCTAAATATCGAATAAAATAAATTTGTATTTTATATAATTTATTTAAATATTTGCACACTTTTAAAGTCATGTATTTTATTCAATTCATTTGCATATTTCTTACAATATTAAAGTTCAGACTAAATTGGATAAACGCTGACCATTTGCATTCGCTACTTGGTCATTATTATTGACTATTTCGTAAAACTTAAGTTTATGGACAAGACTACTAATACTTTTTGTAGAATTTTTGAAATTCCCAACAGAGCAAGCCGTCAAGACGCAAAGTGATAAATCACTCAAGAAATAACTATATCCCATGTTTCTCTCCCATATCTCAACTTTCAACTGCCTTCACTCATTGTTATTTTATGATGTTAAAATTGATTTATGAAGCGCAAAACCTCTCATAGCAATTGCCAAAAGAGAAAGAAAAAAAAAACATTGTGCACAGAATTTTCGCCAAAGCTGCAGCAGTTATGCTATAGTGGCAGCTTCTTTGGCTTCTTACTCTGCTGGTGATTTCGTTATTTTTTTTTTTTTTTTTTTTTTTTGTGGTTTTATGACAGCTGCAGCTCAAAACTGCAGCTGCAGTGATAAAAATGAAGAATAATAGCAACGCCCAGTTCCTGGGTTGGGAAATTTTCTATGTACTTGTTGATGCGGCCCCAACATTCACACACATACATACAAAGCTGGTGCAGCTGCAAGAATGCATTGTCTGAAAGTAGGTCGCCTGTGCTGTTGCTGCTGCTGAAGCTGCAGATGAAAAAGAAATGCAAAACAGCAGCTATCAAATATTAACCACTAGTTGCGTTCTGAAATATAGCCACGCCCACCAGCGCCCAATTAACTGGCGAGTTTGTTAGCTTCTTTATGGCCAGAAGTTTTGCTGCTCTGCTCTGCTCCGTTCTATTCGGCGGGCGCTGCAACTTTAGTTTGCCACTTTGCCGTCACGCCCAGTTTAACAGCCGTGTGGCAGCAACAGCAGCAGCAACACACTGCTGACCTATTTTTGTCACACACACATACACAGATTTTCAAATTACTTACAGCTACAGTAAGCCAGAGATACACACAGCCATACAGCAAACGCAGCATTGCGTATACGCCATGTGCATTTTAATACAGTAATCGCTCGAAATTTGTCACTGACAAAATAGAATCTATAACAGAAATTATGATAATCTTTTGTATCATACAATTAATAATAAATAGTTTATTTAATGTGAAAGAAAAGAAAGTAGGTTGGTGGAAGAGCTACAGGCTCAGAAGGTGGAACAATGGGTCGCTCTCAAATAATAATAATTGTGTAATTTAGTACATTAAAAAAATAATTTAGAAAATTTTTGGATAAAAAAGCAGCACTTAAAGAAATTAAAAAAAAAAATTGTTAAATACATTTTTAATTTTTGAATTTTTTATACGAAAAATCGGGATTGCAAAAACTATAATAATTTGTGCATTAATATCTCTGTCATACATTTCGAGTGACTACTGTATATGGTAAGTCAGCTTCATGGCTTCGCATATTTTTGTATGCGTGTGCGTGTGCCAGCTCAGGTGTGTATGTGTGCGTAAGTGTATTAGGAAGTGTGTTAGTGCGTTGCGTTGTGGCTGCACAAGTTTCAATAACCTAACGATACTGGCGTTGCTCGCGTTTTTCATAATTTGCAGGCCCAGGTATCCTGGATTTTATTGTCAAGTTGTGACAAGGCCACGCCCACGTAGGCTCAGCTGCAATTAAATACACACACACATACACAGACTGTGTGCTGTGTGTACTGCTGCTGCAGCAGTCACACTCCTAATGCATGCGTCCTGAAGTATGTTAATAAGTTTCGCATTACCTATGCGCGCGTGAGCTGAGTTTTAGTTTTCAAATTCTCTCCATAAGGGTCGTCTGGGGTATGATATTGACTCTTTGTGAGTTTGTAACAAATATAGGAAGCTAGCTTACATTTTATAATGCACATAATGCAAGTCTTACATCGATTATATTAAAACTTCTTTAAATTTCTAGAAATGTGTATGAAAGTTGAAGTTGCTGTCTACCTGTTTATCTATTATCCGTTTATAAATTCGAATTCCTGTTAATTTTATCATTCAGTCCAATATTTCCATTTAACTGTATGAATTAAGAAATCAGCTATTCTATAAGAGCTCTGAAATTCAATAAAATGTTTATTAACTTACTTCGTGACAGGGAACAGGGTAACTTCTAGAAAAAACACTCGACTACATCAAGCTTGTTTTTCCGCTGTTTCTTACAGGAAATGCTTATAAACTGCACTTTATATTAGGCTCTGTGTGTGGTGTATGTGTGTATTAGAGTATTTCAGTGTGTGTGTGTGTGTGTTAGCTGACATTCCTAAACCTCGAGCAAGTCAGAGAAAAATATTCACATTTTTATGCTAAAATATTTTTTTGCAGTCTGTGACCTA